AATGGTTTTGTTAAATCTTGAGGGTTTATTATTTGTGGCAGCAAGGCTTTTCTGTACAGTTGGTGTGCACCCGACAAGATGCAACGTAGGTATTCGTTCTTTTAGAATATTAACTGGTGACTATTTATGTGCAAGTGTGCATTTTGGGATGATTGCCCTGTTGGCTTATCACATTGATTTAGGAATTTGATGAGAGTGGAGATCCAGAAATACATTTGCAGGCGCTCTTGTCGTTGGCTAAAGAAGGAATTGAGAAAGGAAAGGTAAGCTTTATCATCATGATTACGGGATGATAATAAGGATGATATAAATTTTGGCTCTCTTAGCAAAGTTATATTCAACACGATTTTTCATGACTCGTGGTGGCTTCCGAACTTATAAATGTGATGGGGATGAAAGACATACTCAACAGATGCAGTTTAGCTCTTGCTGCATTGGAATATTCACATAATTTGTAGGTGCTGCGGATTTAATAATTTTATGCTTTAACAAATATATTTGATTAAAAAATAGGGTTAATCTCATTTTACACCCAGAAAAATCGTTCGAATCTCAATTTGCACCCTCAAAGAGCAAAAATCTCAATTTGCACCCTCAAAGATAGAAATTTGTATCAATGTGCACCCCCAAAGATAAAAAATCTCAATTTGCACTCTCAAAAATAAAAATTTATATCATTATGCACCTAAAACTAAATTGATAAATTATACTTAGATCCCCTCATGCTTGTCACTTAATTATTTGGACATCTTTACATATAGAATATTATTCCTACATCTCATGACATTTATGCACGTACAACATGTAATCCATTTTCATTGATATATGTTAATATAACCGTTAAAAAATATAATTTTATCCTAATAAAAAATTATAATTTCATATTACCCTTATTTTATGGGTCCAATATACTCTAAAGTTCAAATCAAGCTTACCATTTGAATGTCTAATAAAATGTAGATATTTATATAATGTTTTTCATATTTTCCTTTATATAAATATCTATATTCTATTAGACATTCAAATGATAAGCTTGATTTTGAATTTTAAAGTATATCGAATCCACAAAATAAAGGGTAATATGAAATTATAATTTTTTATTATGATAAAATCATATTTTTTAACGATTATATTAACAGATATCAACGAAAAATGGTTATGTTTACACATGTACAAACGTCATGAGATGTAGGGGTAATATTCTAAATGTGAAGGGGTTCAAATGATTAAGTGACAAACATGAGGGGATCTAGGTATAATTTATCAATTTAGTTTTAGGTGCACATTGATACAGATTTCTATCTTTGAGGGTGCAAATTGAGATTTTTTATCTTTGGGGGTGTACATTGATACAAATTTCTATCTTTGAGGGTGCAAAATGAGATTAACCCTAAAAAATAAGTTTGTGATCAAGTCAGCAGAAATGGAATTTGCTCTAATACTCGATTTATGTTCTGACAAAATCTTGTGTTCCTCAATCACATGTTGATAACTGAAACTGAGGGTCCAAGTTGCATGTGTTTATTAAATCTTGCTACTTTATTCTTTTTTCTATTAAGAAATAAAGGCACTAAATCAGAATTCCAGTCACATTTTTTCAGTCCATTGAACTGTAATTAAATGTCAGATTCTCATGTTTTGCGCAAGGTAGTGGCAATTGGTGAATGTGGATTGGATTACGACCGTCTTCACTTTTGCCCAGCTGATATTCAAAAGAAGTATGTTCTTGCTCGATGTTTTTTCCCCCTCTTTTTGTTTTTGGTTTTTGGGGTTGGGGGTGTGGAGGAACTCGCTTCTAAAACTTTGTGAGGCGCACCTTTCTTCTCTCTGTTTTGACGTCTCATTATATTATTCTTTTATTTTTCCCCAATGATTCTGAATTTTCATTTCTCTTTCTTTTTGTTCATAATAGGTACTTTGAAAAGCATTTTGATTTAGCATATGCCATGAAGCTGCCGATGTTTCTCCACATGCGAGCAGCTGCTGGGGATTTCTGTGACATACTTGAGCGAAATAAGAATAGGTAAGATTGCTCTACCATAAATTAAGATTAAATCATGCTTTCTGAAACTTTAATCTGTAAGCAAAAATAGACATTTTTCATAGCTTGTATGGATGTTTGCAATGTTGGATCAGTGCTTTGCCTATGAGTTTGGACTTGATGACATTTTTTTGCCTTGTCTGGTAGGTTCTGTGGTGGGGTTGCCCACTCATTTACTGGTAGTGCAGAAGATTGCGATAGATTACTCTCATTCAGTGATCTTTTTATAGGTGAACTGCCCCATTCATCTTTACTTTGATTTTTAAGCTGTCCACAGCTCATGAGAGGTTATATTAAGATTTTTAAAATGTTCAATGGATTTTCTCTTTCTTTCATTTTTTTTCTTTCCTTTTTGCCAGGTGTAAATGGTTGTTCTCTGAAGACTACTGAAAATCTTGATGTTGTGAAGGGTATTCCTGTGGATAGAATGATGATTGAGACTGATTCTCCATATTGTGAAATCAAGAGCACTCATGCTGGGGTTAAGTTTGTAAAATCTACATGGCCTTCTAAGAAGAAAGAGAAGTATGATCAAGAGTGTATTGTCAAAGGTCGTAATGAGCCTTGTTTAGTGCGGTGAGTGGAATTGTTGGCATTTCACTGCATGATTACATGACCTACCATTAAGGTTACATAATCTACATCACTTTATCTTCCCTGTGCAAAAGTTGTATGTGCAATGCCAAAAGGACCTAGCTTTGCTTAAATGTACAATCTTTTGGAACTTAGAATAATTTGTTAGACAATGCTGGACTACAAAATTCACATTTCGTCACAACAAATTATTGACTTAGAAACAATAAAGCTGGGGCTGGCTTTGCCGATTTTCTGACAATGGGCCTATTGTATATTTTCTGTTTATTTTGCTTTTGCCCAGTGACTTAGCTGGTCTGAGAAATCCGCTTGGTTTGGGTGCTGGCTTACGTCAGGAAGGGGTTAAGGTTTGCTAATAAGTTGGCAAGTTGATGCTGGTGAGACTCCCAAAATATTTGACTTCTACCATTTTCTCTGGGGGACATCAACTTCGCCAATGAGGAAAGAGCTTATACATTGGAGATTTGACTCCCTGTATATATGGTGACTGTATTGAACCCTTGATGCTTGTCACATTTGGCTTTGGTTTGTAATCATGTCTAGAGCTACCAAGTTGGGATGTACTATTTCTGCATAATAAATGATTCTATCAATGCTTTGTGATGTGCCACTTGGTTTCCCTAAAAAAATTGTTTAACACCCAGACAGGAGTTGACACCCGATGGGAGGTAAAACAGACTATATGAACCTGCTTATTCTTAAAGTATAACTAGAAGAGGTAAGAAAAGGAGTAATAATGTACATTTGAGTTCTGTTATTTGGACCCTTCTGTACATCTAAGGTGTCACTGTGCAGCAGAAATGTTCTCACCTTTCTTTTCTCGGAAAAAAAGCTGTATGGCCTTTTTCTTTAAGTATTCATGTTGACATGGCAGGGCTTAATAGCTACATTTCTATATAAGCACAGCATGTTAATGATGGTAATATTCCTTCTATAGTGCTGCACGTACCTCTTCCACTCATCCAGTACTTAATACAACTTTAATCCCTCAGATTCTACTTAAAAAGTCCTAATATTTAGCCTAATTAAGCCTTGTGTCAGTAAAGCATTTGAATTTTATGTCTGCTAATATCTACCTCTTAAATTACCTGATGTGATTTTTATGATGTTTCATCCCATCTGAATATGTTAAAATGTATGTTGACTTTTATGACAGTTCATCCACTTGTTCCCAAATGTGTTCTGCCCTTTATATTCAAATGTTTAGTTGGTTTCTTGAATTGATTTTGTTATTGTCTCCAGGCAAGTTCTTGAGGTGGTCGCCAGTTGTAAAGGAATTGCCGACATAGAACTGAGCAAAACCTTATACCACAACACCTGCAGGTAATTTCATTGGCATTGTTTCAAGTTCTTTTTGCTTTATGACTAGTTCATCAGTCTAGAAAAGTTACATTCTGTTACAATGCTGCTGTCAATTGAAATATCGTGTAGCAACAAATTGAGTAAGTCATGCAGTCTTGGCATGATATGCAGCCGGGGTATTTTGTTTATATGATGTATGCTAATCTTCATTGGATCATAGTTGTTTCTCTTGTCATTTATTGTAGAAATTCAGAGTTCCTCTAGTGACACTAGCGTTGTATGCAGGGTTTTCTTTCCTCAGGACTTGGACTCAGCAGCAGATGCTCTTCTTGCTGGTGGTCACAATGCAGTGTAAAATACTTTCACATTCACATGACTTCTCCGGAAACAGTTTTTGTTCATTGAACATGTCCCTTAAGGACAAGGGTGGTTAACCCGTGTGAAAAGGCATAAAGCCTAAGACTTCTGAGTTACCAAAAGACGGGCTCAATCAACTACTGGATCACATCTACGGTAGGGGTTGAAGTGACAGAAAAGTGATCAACTGAGAGATGGGAGAGTTTGCTGCATATTGCAATTATCAAAATGATTTTCCATTTTGTTAACACAAAGCCATAATTTTTTTTATCATTTGTAGAAGCCGGTGGTGATGAAGCTTTTAAAAAGTGGAAAATCAGAGCATGTGGTAAAAATGTTAAATTACCATCAATGCGTCTATAAATCATCAGTTTGACTGGTGAAACTGCCTTCGTAAAATTCAACATCTAGATAGACTGAAAAAATTCTCTATTTTCTACATGGAATTTCACTAAAATTGCATTTTCCCTCCTGTATTTGTAGTTGGAATCAAGATCTCAAAGTTATTAACCTTTATGGGTTCTAGTAATAGAAATAGTTTTTTTGTATGTGAGGTAAGATTGCGTATATCTTATTCATCACAAACCCGACAATCATGGAAACACTGTGCACTAGGTTATCTTTTGTAAGAAAAGGAAAGAAAGTAAAATGAAGCAATTTTATTCATTTCATTCATGTTATTTTCTAGGCTACACCCAAAAACCCTTTATAACATGTCTTGAAATGGCATGTGTTCCCATTTTTCATTCTCTTGGTTGTAAACATATAAAAGACCATCCTCTGCAACCATCCACCTACAGACAGTATCACACCTTCCAGAGTCACTTTTGTATGAATAGGCATCAAAATGTAGCCATTCTGAATCACCCCACTGCACATCACAGTAAAACAAGGTTGTGCCCCAGATATTCACATTGAAGCTCCACTCGGTTTCATAGCCATCAGGGATTCTCAGATAACCGAGATCATCATCTCGCGATTGGCAGTGGATGTTCATGGTCCTCCCATTTCCCAGCCTGTTCACTATGCTGACACGAACTCGACGGTCTCTCACAACAATAGAACATTCAGACAGGCAAAAAATGAGAAAAATAAAAATTGCTAAGGTTTTGATTCCAGCATCTCTCATGTTGTTCTGTTCTTTATTTGCTGCATTTGCTTCTAACTTTCTTCTAAAAATGTACCTTGGGTTTTATGCTTTATGATAGCTCAAAAAGTCATACAAAGAAGCACACATAATAGCTACCTCTCTTTTAATCTTAATTACTATGAACATTTAAACTTGACATAATAATGCTCAAGTTTGTTTATTTTTTTGTTAGTTTTCATGCTAAACCTGTGACTTGACCAGAACAAAATTAAAGTAATTGGAAAGTTTCAATACCACTTGACTGAGTATTCCTCAATCTGCAATTTCTAAAAAAAGCGTACCCAATACGTGAGGCTCTTATCATTGCAGGGTCTAGGGAGGGTTAGATGTACGCAACCTTACCCCTACAAGCAGAGAACTTGTTTCTACAACTCAAATGCATGACCTCCAGGTCACAATCGAGCAACCTTAATGTTGCCATTTCTAAAAACTGATATTGGATAAAATGAAAACATAATTATGAAGAAAAAAAACGAGGAGCACACAAAATAGGTATTTTACATTTCATTCCACAGGAAAGTTCAACATCACTAACATTCCCACAGCACCAAACTTCAGCATCACTAGCATGAAATCCAGACTTTTCAAGTACTTATTTATGATGAACAAGAAAAAAAAAGTACTTGTTTATGCAATGGGAAAACACCCATATAGTGTTTGTCCATATTTTATAGAGTGCATTGAGGCTCTAGCATCTCTAAACAAGCCACAACAAGGCTGTATGAAATGGCAGAGACAAACTTATGCACTTGAGCCAAGAATTACTTGCCTAAGATAGCAACCAAATGATGGTAGGACAATCCTTGAACCGAAACCCGCCACGCTCACCATGAAGGGAGGATGCAACAGAGTTTCTCCATTTGGTTGCAGCAAGACTGGGGATGGTGCTCTCCACGAGGACACCAACCCCGATGGTCGCCATGCTTCAAATTTTTAGATTGCAGCAGCTATCTGCTGCCGCAACCCACTTACTGGGCATGACAATACCATGCCCAGCATCCATCATACGAGAGAGAGAGTGGACAGATGGCCTAAGATGACTGATTGAAAAGGGATTGAAATCTCCCCTGGAGTACATACTAGTCACCTCTGATCCGGAAAGATAGGGTCCTCTGACATTTGCTTCCTTTGGTGAGTTTGAATTTCCACTGTCAGATTGCAGAACTTCTGAATATTGAGATTCAGTGGGCTGAGAAATTTGTCCTTCACCAATCTTCTTTGTTTCAGCTCCACCCTTACCACCATTCATCTTCTTTGTGTTCAGGAAGCGTCCGCCACAGCCCCTTGGTCGGCGCATAGCGTGAAGATGACGTGACAGGTGCATAAATGGCTGCAAGCAAGCGAAAACAGAATGCAAATTATGCAACCATGAGGTATAGGGGTTTTGCTTTACAAGATAAAAAATAAAGCTCAAAACAAACCTATGCCATCTACGGTATTTCTAAAATTTTAACAATGCAAATCTTGATCCGTTGGATTTCAGTACTTGCGATGCAGATATGGTGAACCTATATTGCAATATATCATGTACTTGTGATGCAGATATGGTGCAAGGATCACCACAAAAATAATTTCTACATCTATCAGATCATATATGTTTTCCCTTTTCGGATAGAGTGGAACATTTGTTCAATGAAATAAAGAAATTCAAAAGTATACTTTACGAGCTTTGAGCACTTCATTCTTTGATGCTGCCTTTGCACGGGACTGACGGCGCCTGATTATTCCATGATATTGCTTAGCGTTTACAAATATCGGTTCATCATCATTGGTCAAGTTCAGTGGCAGCATGATGCGTCCCTGAGTCAATTGCATGTAAAATGCATAGAAACAAGGATTATATAATAGTGGGATCAGACATTTGAGATGGAAAAGAGGAGTGATTACATTGAACTTCAATGATCAAATGATTAAACATTATTGTACAAGTCCACAATTTCTACATTGGTTTCATTTCCAGACACTTGGTTGACACTTCGGGACATGCTTGATAGATTCGCAATCATGCTTTCTTCCCTTTTCCAACACCAAGTCGGAAAAATCAGTAAGACTAGTGGAGGTATGTTCAAGTATGGTACTACACTTCGTCTTGGTCCTCGATCCCGATATGGGAATACCAGTGAAGAAGGCAACACAATCATACGAGCCAAGAAGAAAGTCGAATGCTTCATCCATGCCTATGTCCATGCAACATACACAGACATACATATACACAACAAATTTTCACTAACTTGAGTTTCAGTTAATTCTAATACAGGCATAAGAATCTACAATTATTTAACAGACTCAAAATACCTGAATCTGATTAGCAAGAATCATGAGAAAAACAGAGTATATGAATCCATGGAAAATGGCAGGGTAAGCTAGTTATCAATTTGATTGTAAATCATGCAAATCCATGTAGTAGATTTGAATGAATTTAACTGCATGTGCCAAGTTTCCATTCCTTGGTCTTTTTCGCTAATAAAGGTGTGATGAAGTTTTTGGTATCAAGATGTTTACTCCATCAGTGTTTCCAATTCCAACTTTACGTTTTGTAATTGATTAACTCTTATTCCCTCCCAACACCCTCGATTAATGGAGACCAAACTGAC